CTGGGGCTGCTCAGGATGAATGTGCTGGATTCAGGCAGCTCTGGGGCTGCTCAGGATGAGTGTGCTGAGTTTGGGCAGCCCTGGGGCTGCTCAGGCTCCCTCCCAGTGCTCAGCTGGCTCTGAGTTCAGGCCGAGCTGGGACGCCGGGGTGGCACCGTCCCCGTTGTCACAAACGGGGCCCGAGCGCCCCTTGAGCCGAGCCTGGAGATTTCCCAGAGTCAGCCGGGAGGAGGGATCGGTGCCAGGGCACGGCAGCCCTTGGCAGAGCAGGGTTGGAGTGGGGAAGGCTGAGCAGGAGGCACTGGGACCGGCAGGGAGTGAGGGGGTGGCACAGTCGAGGCTGGTGGCACACGTCCCAGTCACCACAGCACAGCCAGGGCTGGTGCCACACGTCCCTGTCACTGTGTCACATTTGGGGCTGGTGCCACATGTCCCTGTCCTCAGCTGGGAACTGAGGGTGTCTCACACTGGTCTCTGGAAGAGCCTCGTTGCTCCTGCTGGAGAGATGTTTGATGTGTGTGGGGTGAGGACGCCTGGAGCATCCTCACGGCATTTCCCTGCCACTGGGACATGACTGGAGTCCTGCCACTGTCACCTGGCTGCTCCTCGGGGCTGTTTCTGCACCACAGGACCCAAAAAAAGCTCCACTGATGTCCTGCAGCCCCAAAGCCGAGAGCCAAAGCTGGGCTGGTTTCGGGAGCGACTCCATGGATGTTCCAAGGCAGGAGACGGGCAGGTCCTTGGCAGGACTCTCCTCACCTGTCCTGATTCTCTCGAGCACGGGAGGTGATCCTGGACTTCCCACCCATCCCTCTGCACTCCTGGAATTGCCTCGGAGTTCAGCTCCAGGGAAGCTGGAAACAGGGCCCTTCTCCGGGGAGGTGCCGCAGGAAGGAACTGGGATGCTGGGATCGGTTCTCCAGGGTTGTTCTTGAGCCTTCAGGGAGGGAGGACCTCTCAGGGAAGGAGGATCTCTGAGGGAAGGAGGACCTCTCAGGGAAGGAGGATCTCTGAGGGAAGGAGGATCTCTGAGGGAAGGAGGATCTCTGAAGGAAGGAGGATCTCTGAGGGAAGGAGGATCTCTGAGGGAAGGAGGATCTCTGAAGGAAGGAGGATCTCTGAGGGAAGGAGGACCTCTCAGGGAAGGAGGATCTCTGAGGGAAGGAGGATCATCTCTTACACAAGGGAGGGGGAAAAACTGTTGGTGCTGAGGCTGCTCTTTCAAAAGCCGCCTCTGTTGCGTAAGAGGAGCCTTGGGCGCCCAGAAAATGTGGAGAACTTCCTCACGAGGCCGGAGACAAAGCCAGGATTGCTCCCTCAATTTCTTTCTTCCTCGAACGTTTTCCTGAACTTCAAGGCTTATGTAAATTCCCCAGGTTTGCTCGGGGCTTGGGGCACCGGAGATTAGTTTCCTTACGTAGCCCGGGGGTGCAACCACCACGTGAAAATCCTCTTGTGCTCCTTCCACAGACTCTTGGCTTCACCCAGAGCCTTCAGCAACACTTGGGAGGCCGCTGGGAGCAGCTGCTGCTTTCCAGGGTTCCCTTCGGTGTCTGTAGGGTGGGAACACCGGTGGCAGAGCTGTCCCTGAGGCGGGACTGTGCCCCTGCTCCCCTTGCCTTGCTCACTCCCAGCTTTTGCCACGTCCCTCCTGCCACCCTGGGTGCTCTGGCCTCCCTGTCCTCGTCCCAGGGCTGGCCCGGGGCTCCTTGCTGGCCCAGGGATGCCGAGGAGGGAGGGTTGGCTGGTTGGAGGGTCGGAGGGTTGGAAAGGAAGGAGCCTCTGCTTCTCTTGGGACTCAGCTCCCGCTTTCTGCCGAGCTCGGGATCATCCCTGCTCCTCCTTTTCCCTCTTCCAAGGCCACCCCAGCACGTTCCTGAGGCAGTGGGAGGGTGCCCAGGTGAGGCTGTGCACGGGAGGGTGGGGATGGATCAGGGATGGATCATAAATCAGGGATGGATCATGGATCAGGGATGGATCACAGATCAGGGATGGATCAGGGATGGATCATGGATCAGGAATGGATCACAGATCAGGGATGGATCAGGGATGGATCATGGATCAGGGATGGATCACAGATCAGGGATGGATCACAGATCAGGGATGGATCAGGGATGGATCATGGATCAGGGATGGACCAGGGATGGATCATGGATCAGGGATGGATCACAGATCAGGGATGGATCACAGATCAGGGATGGATCAGGGATGGATCAGGGATCAGGTCACTCCTCGTGGGCCAGCCCCCACCGTGGCCTTGCTGGGACTGGGACAAGGACAGGGTGGCTTCTCCTTGTCCCCAGTGTCCCTTCCATCCCCACAGGAGGTGGCAGTGTCCTCCTGAGGGCCTCCCCATCCCAGGGAACAGTCCCTGCCATGGTGCCACCACAACTGGCTGTTGTCTGGGTCCCTGCCATGGTGCCACCACAGCTGGCTGTTGTCTGGGTCCCTGCCAGCCCCGTGCCTGTCACCTGCTGGCACCGGGCAGAGGGGACAGCGGTGCCGGGCCACGCTCTGGGACAATGGAACTGCAGAGTTTAGCAAATCTGCAGCCTGGGGTGGATATCCAGCCTTTGCAAGCTGGGTTTAACACAGGCAGGCTCAGAGACCTCAACAAGCAGTCGCTGTCTGGGCGAGGGCTGGGCCGGGAGGTTCCCTCAGATGCCCCCCAGGTGAGTTTGGGGGGATGTTTTTAGAACAGACCGAGCTGGTGTGTCTGGGCAGTTCAGTTATTTAATCAAATTTTTGAATGGTTTGGGTCAGAGGGACCTTAAAGCTCATCCAGTCCCACCCCTGACACCTTCCACCAGCCCGGGCTGCTCCAACCTGTCCCTGGACACTTCCAGGGATCCAGGGGCAGCCACAGATCCTCTGGGCAACCAGAGGGGCCTCCCCACCCTCCCAGGGAGGAATTCCTTCCCAGTGAGCACTGAGGACTCTGTCAATCCCTGCTGGTGACTTACTCCTGTCCAAAAACCAGGAGAAAATCCCCTGGTGGGAGGTGAGTGAGCCGGCGGAGCCCCCCCGGCACCGCGGGGATCCAAACACAGCTCCTGCCGACGGGGTGGACGCGCCGGGAGCGGGCAGGGACCGGCTTCAGGTGGGGAGTTGGATCCCCAGAAACTGCAGCTCGTGTGTGTGTGTGTGTATGTGTGTGTGTGTGTGTGTGTGTATGTGTGTGTCTGTGTGTGTGTGTGTGTGTGTGTGTGTCTGTGTGTCTGTGTGTCTGTGTGTGTCTGTGTGTATGTGTGTGTGTGTGTGTGTGTGTGTGTGTGTGTGTGTGTGTTTGTTTTGCCCGGTCTCCAGGGGCTGGAATCAAACCCGCTGCCGGGATTTGCCGTTCAGACTTCCCCTCGTTGATCTCAGCGCTGGTTGTTAACCAAGAGCAGACCTTTGCTGCACACATCTGGAGGCTGGGTGGGACCCCAGCCCTTCCCTCCATCCAGGAGAGAGCCTGGGTGGGATCCCAGCCCTTCCCTCCATCCAGGAGTGAGCCTGGGTGGGATCCCAGCCCTTCTTCCCTCCATCCAGGAGTGAACATGGGTGGGACCCCAGCCCTTCCCTCCATCCAGGGCTGAGCCTGGGTGTGATCCCAGCCCTTCCCCCCATCCAGGAGTGAGCCTGGGTGGGATCCCAGCCCTTCCCTCCACCCAGGAGTGAGCCTGGCAGGCTGGGAGGGGCTCCCAGAGCAGAGATTTTGGGGGCTGGGGGTGCTCTGGTGGCCTCGGTCGTGTCGGTTCCCTTTGAGGCCCTGCTGGGCCGCTCGGTCCCGGCGGGATCTCTGCCAGTCCTGCTCCAGGGAGCTGCCTGGGCAGGCTCAGCCCGGGCCAAGGGGCTCAGCTCCACGTGGGCCATGTGCTGCAGGAGCTGCTTGGCCGAGGTTTGGCCGGATCCTGGTGTGGCCACACCGGGCTGGTGCCCACTGGGCTCCAGCTCTGCAGCTCTCAGTGGGCTCCTCCAGCCCTGGGGACGCTCAGGGGGCCGTGGGGTCACTGCCGTGCCCGGGGACAACCCGCTCGGCCTCCCGCTCCCACGGGGATGCCGAGGATTTGAGGGATTTGAGTGCTTGGGATTTGAGGGACGGAGACGCCACCGAGGGGTCATCCCAGCGTCCCCCCCGCGCCCCTGCCCGCCGCTCCCCGAATCTTTCTCGGGGAGGTGAGAGTTGTTGTGCAGAGTTTCCTCTCTGTATCCTCTTATGTCACGCAGCCCCGGC